ACATAAATATTTTATAAATATTTCTATATATAAATAAGAAAATATCAAAATCTTTATTCAAAATATTATTATTAGGTAAGCAAAAAAGTTCTGAGCTTTTTTTTATAAAATTCAATCTTTATTCAAAAATAAACAAAAAAATATTAGTCAGCGAAATATTCCCCGTTTGCATCAATGACCTTTTACCATCTTTCGTGTAGCTTGCGAATTCCTTGACGATAGAAGCTCACCGGCTTCGAAGCGATAAAGCCATTAATGCATTTTCGTATCTCTTCAAATCTCACGAAATATGTATCAGCCAAGTGATGCTACAGCGGCCGGAATAGGTAGTAATCGGAAGGTGCCATGTCTGGGCTATACGCCGCGTGCGGGAGAAGTTTTCAGCCTAAAGGTGCCAATATATGGGAGTGTTCGAGCTTTAAAGCGTTAGCCAATCAACGTATTAGGTTCCAGAAATATACTTGTAGTTCTTGCAGAAAGTGCCCTTATAGAAATATCATACTAAGAATCATTGATAATTACTCATTTTCAGTATTAAAAATACTGGATAATAAGTAATTATCAATGATTCTTAGTATGATATTTCTATAAGGGATGAAGCAGGATCAGTACGATAGCTTGGGTGGGAGTGGTTGATTGGTCTGTTTCAAGTGTTAGAATTTTCTCCAACTTCCACTATTGCTTGTCTTCTCTCGTAGTAATAACCCGTCGTTTTCACAACGAATCCCTTCCTTCCCTTATAGAAATATCATATTAAGAAATACTGAAAAATTATTAGTGATTAAATATTACCAGTAATTCAGTAATTTCTTGGCCAGTACTTAATTTCTGATGAATACTAATAACAAATTCATTGTTAAATATTGATAGTAATCAAATACTGAGAATTATTATGCGAAGATGAAAAATGAGAAAATCATAATGTTTACAAAAATATACTTATATTCCTAAATTTCTCATGTCTCATAAACTACTAGATATCGAAGGTTGTCAACACATTCCAAACTTTCATGAATCCTCCTGCGATAATTTCGGGAGCGGTGCACTTGGACACGGTGCATTTGGACACAGCCAATCACAGCACCGTGTGATTAGAGACATTTGTAGGGTCCCTTGGAACAGCGACTTGTGATTGGACTGTGTCCAATTGCCCCGTGTCCAACTGATATACACCCTA